GGCTCTTTCCCAGCGCTCCCGGCTGGAATTGTTCCGGTCCCGTCCCCGGCACAGCCGCGCTGCTCCCCAGCCCCGGCTCCGGGGACCCTCCCCAGTTCCATCCACGCGGATTGGGGCGCGGGCTACGGGTCATGGGATTTCGCTCTGGAGATTATTGATTTAGGGAATGCCAAGGGATGGGATGAACAGAGCACAGAGAGCTCGGGTTTAGCTTTAAAACAGCTTTAAAAAACCCCCAGGGTGAGCTGGGTCAGCGCTGGGCGTGCAGCGCCTCCATCAGAAACAAATCCCATTCTGGGAAGGGACATTCACTGCTCCTGGCACAGAGGGCTCCAAGTGCTCTATAAAATTCCAGAGGTCTCTATAAAATTCCAATCCTAAAAAGCCACTCCATAAATAATAAATTAATTTATATCGTGAGAATATAAGAATTAAGGCTGAGCCCGGACGTGGATTTAATTCTTGTTGCTCTGAACAGAACTGAGCATTTACAAGGCCATTAATAAAGACAGAAACAGAGAAGTTCATATAGGAAAAGGAGTTAGTTCACCTTTATTTCATTTCTCCATAGTCCCAAACTTGACAGACGTAGAAAAATATCCTTGAGTCAGTAGACAAATTTACCAATGCTAAATAGCCCTTTTCTCTGACCATCTGGGCCACCCTAAATACATTTGTACAAGCATTACTTCAGGGGGTTTCAATAAAAGGTTCTTCTAAACTATAAACAATAAACTACAGAGGAAAAACTTGAGCTACCAAAGCATGCAGATGAAGGGATCGTCCAAAAATTCAAAAAAAAAAAAAAAATTAAGAAAGCAAACCAACCTTGAGATGCATTTGGAGGAGAAAACAAATTAGGATAATTTCAGGAAAAAAAATTAACTATTAATTAAGAGAAGTCAAAGCAAACTCTGTAAAGGATCTGTGGATAAGTTAAAATATCTATGGCACAACTTTTCACCAAAAAAAAAAAAAAATTAAGGCGAAGACCAACGTTTTATATAAAAATAGCTGAGCAGGCTTCTAAAGCAGGAAATCAGCATTTCCAATGATGACTCTGTTAATACAAGATTATAAATACCCTTTATATACAGAAAACCAACTCAATACAAACGTCTGGACCGTGTCCCTGGGCACCTGGCACTGGCAGTGCCCAGATCAGGAGTCCTGGACCATAGTGGAGGTATCTCCGTTGAAGGTTTGTAGTAGTTTCTTTGCTACACGTTCTGATACAAATCAGAAAAATGAAATATAAATAGTGATTTCAGACAGAAACTTAGGAATATGCTCAGGTTACAAAGCTTAAGGAATTGGCCCAAAAGGAAATGATAAAAGATTTAAAATCATCAATTATTTTGTTTTGCAGGCGAAGGAAAGCATCCAAGTTATACAATAATATTTAAATTTTCAGTATATTTTTTTTTAAATGAAACGGATTCCTACAGTGAAAATAAAGCAGAAATTATCATTATCTCTTCATAAATACAGCAGTTGTTTATTTGCCAAGATAACTTAAAAATATCATTATTATGGGCATTTTCATAAATTTCCAGGCCTAAAAGTTACCAGTTGCAAGGACATAACCAATAAACCATATTTGTATGGGTGTATTTGACTAATTTTCAGAACTATGCAATTGATATGCAGCAAGACACAAAAATAAGAGCAAATGAAATATATTTGAGAAGAATTCCATTAACATTTCAAGTTAAAATACCTTTGTAGAGCTACTGTGATCAGTGTATCTGTGCACATTGTAAATCTGCATCTGTGTGTTCACACACACTCAGTAATTCCAGAAATAACCCCAGAAATGATAAAATTCCTACTGGAGAACACAATTTTCCCCCAGCACAACTCAGTGGATTTGCCAATGACTTTTTGACCTGTATTTCACAAAATCTGCAGATAAAGCGGAAGTTCTTGTTTTCCACAGCACAGAAACCTTTTAGTTTATTGAGATTTTCCTGACTAAAACCCAGAACCTTCATTTCTGCCTCCTTGTGCCTCATTCCCTCCATCCCCCTCGTGCATCCTCCACCCCTCCCTGCGCTCCAGGGAGAGAAATGAGAAATTCAAGGAACTCTTTTCAGATGAAACTTGAATACAAACATGGTCTAAATCTACTTTTGACCTCAGTTTGTTACTGACCCATTTTCATTTAACACTTCAAAATTCTTTCTACAAGGTCTCTATAAAGTTATGGCAAAAAAAGGAAACAAGTGAAACAAAAATCTGAGGAGGTTTTTATGAACTGTGGTGTCTCAGAAAGTGTAAAACCTTTTCCTGGCAGTGCTGAGATCACTGACTGCTCTCTCAGATTAACTCATCTCATGAACTGAGCAATGTTCCAACATCATTAATACCAGAATTAAGGATTTCACCCATTTCTCACAGGAACTGCACCAAAACCAGCACAGCCACCCCATCCTTCAGCTGTAACAGAAATGTTTTCTCCCATTAACACATGCTAAGCTTTTCTCCCTAATATTCCATCATTTCCTTCTCCACAGATTGTGATGAGCACAAATACAGAAAAAGAGCATTAAAATAAAAGCAAATTGATGGCTCACACTCAGCAAAAACCAAACACAAACTGAAGGATGCAGGTTGGGAATACTTTATTGCCTATAAAAGGTTAAAAAAAAATTCCTAAGTTCACATTTTCTGTGTAGGTTTAAGGGGTGTCACGTTTCAGAGGTAGCATTGTGTAAAATGTAAAACTGAGCTGGAAAAGAGTTCCTGACTTAGTTCAGTGACACGGGGAACTGTCCCAGAGCCAAAGCACTGCCCTGAACTGTTTTCCTTCCAGGAGCATCCTTGCACAGCTCCTTCAGCCAGGAGGATTTCTCTTTTGTGGGAAAAGAGCCCCACAAGCCCAAGGCTCTGCCCCGTTTCTGTTGCCTTCTGACCAAAGCAGCTGCTGTTTCTCAGAGCAATAAACACTCACACTCCAAACTCCTGTTCTTCCATGGAAAACACCCATTTTATAGTGCTGCTTTGACTATTTTTTCCCCTCAAACTTTTCAGATTTCACATTTGGTCATTGTGAAAACATTCTTGACTAAAGGGACCAACCACTACAATGCAGCTGTGCTCTCTGCAGCCAGGTGCAATTTGCTCACTGACCACCCCAGCCAAGCTGGAGGACTTGGGGCAGAAAAGGCAGAATCTGGCCAGGTTCCAGCCCTGCAGCCCCTGCTCTGGGGGAGCTGGGCAGGGCTGGAGCTTGGGCATCAAGCTTTGGGTGTGAATTGCCCCAGGAATTCTGTGCTGTTCCCTTGGTGCACATTCCTGTCCCCCTCACAGTCAGTGTGAGCAGGACTCTGTGCTCAGTGCAGGGCACACGGGGCAGATCCATCTGCAGCACAATTCCCATCCCCAATTCCCACTCCCATCCCCAATTCCCAGCAGGATGCCCAGGGTGCTGCTGGTTTGTTCAGGACTCACCTGAGCCTGCAGCACCCCCAGCCTCTGCCCCTGGGAACAGGCTCTCTGAAGCTGCTGCCCAGCTCAGGTGAGGACAGAACCAGGACATTCTTCTCCTCACTCACGGCTGCAAAGCCCCAAACTCCTCATTTCACACTTTTTATTGCCTTAGTGAAAAGAAATACTTCGAGAGATTAAAGTGCAGAGCTGCCTCCAGGGCTGGGCACTCCAGAGACCTCATACAGTTCATCTGCTCAGGTGCCTTTAAACCTGCCCCAAATTCACCTGCTGGAGTATTTATTGTTTTATTGGAGTATTTCCTGCCACTGTCACTCCTGTCAGACCTGTGGATGTGACTGAAGCATCAGCTGCAGGGAGAGGAAAGCAGGCAGAGCTCCAGGAAATGGGAATTTAACCATGAGCAAACCTTCCAGTATCCAAACCCCAGGGAGAGCCTGTGCTGCCTCTGGTGAAGTGTCTGGGCTGGGCTGCCTTCCCACCTTCAGAAAAACATCACTGATGCTGCCATGGATGCCTTAGGGATGAACAATGCCAGGAAGTCACTGTTCATGGACAGAGAGACTCTGCAGGATGGTCAAACATTGGTACCTGGCCACAGAAAGGTGATAACACCACCAACAGGAGGGCCTTGATCATTCACATTACAGTCACTCACTGGGACAGACAGGGGGCTGATTTCTGGCACCCTGAAAAGCACAGGATGAGCTCCATCTCCTGTGGAAGGTTCTGGAATGCTGAACTGCACTTCCTGCAGGTGTTTGTCACCATCCTACACTCAGGGGAAACACCCTGAACCCAAACCCAGCCCAGAGCCACCCCCTTGCTCTGCACCAACATTTAACCACCAATAATGGTCACAGTTACTCAATCTCTGCTGGAAATACCCACTGCTACTGAAAAAAACCCAGCCAAGGAGCTGTGGAGCATCTTCCTCCCCAGATTCTCTTATTCAGGGATAGAATTTATACTCTTTTTTTTTTTCCTGGCTACCCTGTAGTGCTGTCAAGTGTTCCAGGCTGTGTTTTGTCTCCCCAGGGATGGGGTGGGCCCTGAGTGCAGCTCCCCTCAGGTGCAATCCAAGAGGATCCCAGCTCCCTGGAGAACAGGGACTGACATCATTGCTTGTATCTAGCAAACAGTTCATTCAAAATTCATCCCTTCCATTTGTTTGGGTATGAAATAGCAGCAAGACAGCAAAGTAGGAATCATCAATGGAAGTTTTTCCTGCAGGAAGGCAGATGATTTAATTGACCATGAAATTGAGAAGTCCTGTTAAAGAGTATCCTGCTCTCTGTCATGGGAATTCAAGTGGAAGAAGCAGAAAAACAGGGGCCAAACAGTGGCAGCTCCCAGCACTATTTTATGTTAATTTCACAAAAAACAAGAGGTTTCATTGTCAGTGGCACAGATTTCCTGTCTAAAGAGAACAGCAATAGAAACCATTGTCAGCCTGGCACAGAAAACCCTTTATAAATGAGTTTTGCAGAGAATTCCATCTCAGCCCTGTGTATCTGTGCAGGACAATACAGTGAGCTCTGCTCACAAACCTCATTCCCACTCTGAGTTTTAATGCCCCAGCTCACACACAGGCCTGGAACTCTGGATTTCCCTGTGGAAGGGTGGCTCTGCTGGGAACTGTACAGAACTGTACAGGGGGGCAGAACTGTGAGAGTTTGGTTTCTCAGAACACCTTTTAAATCATTCCTGCCCTTTCTGCAGCTGGTGTTGAACAGTATTGCTAAAAGCTCCCCGTGCCCAAGGAGAGGAGAGACTGAAAACCTGAAAGATCAGAGCTCACTACTGATACTAAACAGAAAGAGCTGTACAAGTGATTAGGGAGGAACTGATCAGGCTGAGAAAACCCTAAAACCTGAGTCTAACCCCAGAATTAAAGGAACAAAAGGTGTTATTTCCCCAACACTTTGGATTTTCTGAGCTACATCTTGGACCTCCCACTGAAATTAAGGGAGTTACTCACTGCATGAACAAGGATTCCTCAGAGACAATTATTATTTGGCATAAAATGGGAAGATCAGGTTTTTTACCAGACTGAAGTATCTGTGTGAAAAATGCTTGCTGAGGGATATCCAGGTTGGAATTGGAGCAACAATGCCATGGGCAGGCACCTGCAGCATCCCACAGACCCACCCTGGAGGAGAAGAGCTCCAGGACTGGTCCCCACCCTGTCAGCTCAAGCTCAGCACCCCTGCCTTGGCCAGGCATTCCCTGGACCCCAACACTCCCCCTGAATCCACCTGGACACCCCTGCACAGCCATCCCACCACAGCACTGAGGGCATTCAGTGCCAACAGCTCTGGGAAAGAAGAAAATCCAGTTCAGCCCCTGCCTGCAATCCAGATCACAGTTTAGAAAAGGCATTTGCCAAAAAATGCACCAGGCAGAGCTTCAAAGCAGATGTGCAGAGCTCACTTCCAACACTGGGAAACCTTGCAGGGTGCAATGACAGCTGGGGAATTCTCACTGGCTTGGTAAACTGGAGCAAAGTTTGTGGAGAAATATATACCCAAGAATTAAAATAATAAGCAGTACTTTAGCATTTAGGCTTTGACAAATAAAAACTGTGACTACAATCATTAAACTCTAAAGAGTGTAAACATCCAATCCCATTGCTACTGTATTAGGAAGTTGTATCCTGCAGCTATCAGGGTTCCCATTTCCACCTCATTTCTTCCAACACTTATCACTGCTTCTTTGCATTAATAATTTATTCACGATAATTCAATTTTTTCAGTTAGCCTTTCAAAGTTTTTTCAGCTATTTTGGTCAGAAAAATGGAAGATTTAACAATCTCAAATCAGAAAACAAAAACCACTTCAGTTTAATTTCAGGTTTTCAAGCACAACTCAGAGAAAGCCCGTTATTCTATTTGGATCCCCAATTTTTAGTCCACCTACCTGAGTAAAAATGGGGAAAAATATAATAAACAGGCCTGGGGAGCACGTGGAGCTGGAGAATTCACTGGGTGTGTTTCCCACACTTGCATCCCTGCTCAAAAAAAGACTTTGCTACAGAGCCAGAGCTGTTCTGGAGATCAAAGTTAATCCTACCCGAGGCCAAGCTGCTCCCAGTGCACCCTTCCCTCACCTCTTCCATTTCCCAAAGCCAGCACTGCCAACTCCTGGGCACTGCAAGGCTGTGAGGAGCCAGGCTGAGAACACTGCAGAGCAAAGCCTGTCTGTGTGTCTGTCTCTGCTCTGCACCTCCCTGGGGTGTGTGCTGGGTCTCCAGGCCAGAGCATCACAAACTGTCTGAGGCGTTCTTCTCCGACAGCGACGAGAGGCTGAATGAGGTATCGTCGGGCTCCGGGGAGGTGTGGTTGAAATCCATCTCTTCCAGCTCAGGAGGTAAGTCTGAAAGCAGAGCCTACAAGGGAAAAACATTTCTAATATCTGCTATAGACACTATCAGGTGTGGGTTTTGTGTCAGCAGTGATTTAAACAAAGTGTGAGAAAATTGTTTGAGTTTTTTGACCATAATTTGAACCTGTGAGAAAATTGTTTGAGTTTTTCGATCATAATTGGAGCCTCTGGAATAAACCCAAGAGAGGGACACAACACAAAAGGACAAACATCTTCTGATATTAAAGACAGATATTAAACCTGCTCCAGGATTTACCTGCTGCTGTTCCTTGTCATCTGCTTTAATAGCAAGTATCAAACTGCGGGTGAATGTCTGCAGCTCAAAGTATTTCTGTTTGTGGCTCTCCAGCTGACTCTCGATGAACCTGACTTCTTCATTCTGTGGGGAAACCAGAGAGGCTGGGAATGATCTCAGAACCAAGGAATCCTTTGGGCTGGAAAAGCCCCCTGAGGCTGAGCCCAGCCATCCCCCAGCACTGCCAAGGCCACCACTGTCCCCTTACCTGGGGACAATGCTTTGTCCCTCGTGTCTGTTAAATCCCTCCAGGGATGGGGACAGGACAAAGCATTGAAATAACCACACCTGAACAGCCCTGGGTTAAAACTCAACTATTTTTAGTGACAATGACAGCCAAAGCCCAGATTTCTAGAAGTGATCAGGGGGCTGAAAGAAGAGACAGCAAATAAATTCCATTATTGCAGCAGAAGGCTTGACACAAAAATCAGGGAAAATGACTTGAAAATTCCTCAAAGCTCCCACGAATTAAAAGATAACATCCTCCAGCAGCTGGGTTTGATGTGGATCAAGTGTCAGCTCACCAAGCTCCTCAGGATCCCTCGGGTTACAGAATAAACAGGAATATCTCAGAGTGACAGAACACTTTGGAAGGGACCTTACAGATCGTTCAGTTCCAACCTCCAGAGTTGTTTATTGGGCTGGAACTGAATGTAGTATATTACAAAGTAAGGAAATATCAATAATTTGTGTGCTTTGGCTAAGAAAGTATTTTCCCAATCTATACTTGCAAATCTCTTTAATTAAAAATTCAGATTTAATAAGTATTTCCATTTATTTTAAGAATCTCCTCTCTTCCAAAGTTACTGGATCAAAATGCTAAACCTGTTGATTAGTGCAGAGCTAAAATTCATTTTCTCGGGTTACTCACTTTTGCAAAGATCATGAAAATCAAACTGTTTATTTAGGTTACAAGATCAAAGGCATTGCTCATTTTTTGCAGAAGGGCTCTGCTTAATAGCACCAACTCATGAGAGAATAATGAAAATAAATATGGTATTCATGCTCACACTGGTTGGAAGTCAGCTTTAGTTGACATGAAAAGCTGTGACTACATGATGCTCTGAAGGTTTGCAACAACCCTTTAAAAATGGTTGGTTTTTTCCCCAGAAAATTCTCATTTTTTTCAGTGAAAGCACTGCTCACCACACTGTTCCAGGTGATAACAGCTCTGAGAATGACAGAAGAATATTTGGGCTGCAATTCTGAAGCTTCCATAAAAAATCAGCTGAGTTCTTCCCTATGGATAATTTGCAGTTGCCTGTTTAGCTCTGGATTTTGCCCAGCCCAGGAAGGAATTCAGATTTAGGCAGAAAACTCAGGGAGTAATCAGGGCTGTCAAACAAAGCCTGGCTCTGCAGGGCACTGTCACAACAAGGCTCTCACTGTGCTGACAGGTGACATTAAGAAAAGGTCATTCCCTCTCCTCATTCATTCTGCAGGAAAACGCTGCTGGAAGGAGGAATTTCTATTCTGAAGAGATGATCTGTTCATTATTTTGGTAATTGATTATTATCAGGAGAACAGGTCTGGTTTCTTATGGGTAAAAAATCAGCAGTGGAGGTAAAAGCTCAAGGCAAGGTGGAATTGTGGTTACTCCTGGGAGAGCAGCACAGACACAGCCTCAGCCTTGGGCTGGAGCTGCCAGGATCCAGCTGCTTCTCCTCCCTCCCACCATTCCCAGCATGTCCTGGGGAATCCTTCTCCTCAGATCCCCCCAATCCAGCACAGGATTCCTTCCAGCTCCAAGCTGGCAGCACCACACTGCAGAAAAAGTGTGGCAGAATTTCAAGAACAATTCTGCTGGGGTGGCTCCATAAATGCCTTTGCTGGGACACAGGGGTGGAGCTGCAGCTCTGCAGAAATGGGGTTTTCCTGCCTCCATTGGGGTTGAAACATGGATAAAGTGGCTGGAGGGGGGATGAGGGCATGATGTGCACACTGGGAAAACAGCAGAGCAGCTCAGGATCCCACAGGCTTTTGCTGAATTCCTGACAGCTCCAGCCCCTGAACTCCCTGGGGATTGTCCCACTGTCCCTGACATGGCCCAGCCACTCACCTTGTAATCCAAAAGAGAACTCATCTGATCCACTTCAGAGTTGCTGATCAGATCACTCTCCTCATCATCTAAAATTTCTATTTTCTGAAACAGAAACAAACAGTTCATTCCAACACACAGAGGAGACAAACAAACGGGGAGCCACATCCCAAAGGGGCAGGAGGGAGGAAGGATGAAGGATAAAATTGTGATGGATAAATGATGAAGAAGGAAGGGGGAAGGATGAAGGAGGAAGGATGAAGGATAAATGATGAAGGAAGGAGAGCTCAGTGCTGGCTCCTGAGCAGCTCTGAGCCTTGCAGCCCCATTAGATGGCAATCATGCACCTCAGCCAGGAGAGCCAGCAGGAATCCAGCGGGAGCTGCTGCCATGGAGACTCAGCTGTTTACACAGGAGGAGCTCCCTGGCCCAGCTTTTTGAATTTGAGTTGCACATTTATCCCCTCACAGCCCCTGCTCTGCTCTGCTGCTGCACAGCAGGGTCTGGAAATAAACCTCTGGATAAACCAGCAAGTCCTGAGCTACTCCTGCCTAAAGAAATCAAGGATTCTCCTCTGACCCTGCCTGGCCACATCCCCTCAGCTGTAGGGGTGCTGGTCCAAAGGACACTTCCAAATGCATAAATATGGACATTTTTACCTAATTCACAAAAATTTGGGGAGCTTTTTATACTGGGTTTCTAAAGATATCTAAAGCACAGTGTTAAGGCCAAGCTTAACACTAAGACTCAGAAATACATCCCAAGTTTTTTTACTGTTTTCAATTGTTTTGACAGTTGTGAACATTTATGAACCTTTCCATAATAAGTTACAGCAATTTTCCTGTTTTTTAGGATGGAAGGGCCCTCACTGACCCAATCCATGTGCATGGGTCATTCCTGAGGTGTTAATTCAGGTTTTTCCTGCAGCATGTGGCCCCTCCTGCCTGCACACCCTGAAATCACTGAGGAGAAATCCTTGAAATCCTCCCAGGGGCATTCCCAGCTCTCCCTGGCAGGACCCACCAGCTCCCAAGGCTGTGCTGAGGGCAGGGAGGACAAAGCCCATTTTGTGTGCTCAGTGTCTGCCAGCCCAGCTGAAGTGACACCAGCCCAGAGCTTTGATGTCCCCGAGTTCTGCTGCTCCATCAGACCCTCAGGAACACTGGCACTCCAATATTTTTGGTTTCACACTCAGCTTGAGGAAAAGAGTCCCTAAATAACTGCCAAACATTCACATTCCCCTTCTCAGACACACTTTTTAAAATAGGAGGGGAAGGAACAGATTAGAATTTCAAATAGGAAAACCTCTTATGCAAATACAATGTATTTTAGTCCAATTTTAAGTGCATTTTTACTAAGTTTTGTTACAGTGTTTCACAACAAAGCATGCAGAAACTCTTCCTTGGTTTTGTTCCATTGTTGTATCAAATGACAAAATTCAGGCAGGTTGGGGAGCTGAGTCTCTTGGGCACCATCTCTTCAAACCATTTCTACTGAAGGTTTCAGGGTTTTTCCTGCTAGGTTTTAGAATTTTTAGTACATTTTTAAAGCTCAAATAGGAAGGACTTTTAACACACACAGCTGAAGTTGTCACCTAGTGAAAAGCACAAGTGCTGGACAACAACCTCAACATTAATTAAGGAGTTACTAATTGGTGGAAAAGGAAAGGTAAACATACCACATTATCAGTGGAAACTGGATTCTGGTCATCATCTTTGTGGCCAATTTCTTCATTTTGAAGAGCTTCATTTGTCTCTTCTGCAGAAATAAATTGGTTTTGTCAGGTTTCATTCCAATTTTATGCTGAAGGACCATTAATGGTGTTTACCACTAAATGTCACAGCTGCTAAATCCAACAGCAAAGTCATGGTATCAATGTCTAATCATAAAGAGAATATCTGCCTTATTAAAAAGACATCTTGTGACAAGCATTTCAGGCCAACATCAAACCACCTTCCCCCTGAAACAACAACAAAACTCTCAGTTATTCTCTGCACCAAAACCTTCCCATTTTTAGGTTCAGGTTGGAATATTCAAAGGTGATGCAGAGTTTCACATCAGAGACGTGCAGAAGTTGGGTTTGTTTAAATGAAAATGAATTCCTACATGAAATATCCTGCATTCCCTGAAATTCTGGGGTACATATTTAAATCCCACTTCCCCCTTGCAGACACTGATGGGTTTTGAACCAAAACCTGATCAGATTATGGCAAATGCTTTCCCCCAGTAAGCCTAAAGGCTTTTTTATGTATAAACACTTGAAAACAGAGCAGATTTTATCCTGGTGTTTCAACCACAAAGCATGAGATGATTCCACTGACCTTAAAGGCCAAGGAGAACACAAACCCCAAAGAAAGTTAAGTCTATTTACCCCTAAAATTGAAGTTTATTTCACATATTTACTTGGTTTCTGCATATTAAAACATAAATCTATGATACATTTTAAATATAAAAAGAGGGAAGAGGCAGCAAGGTTCTGGTGACTCCAGGGTCTGTCACCTCCACACAAACACAGGGTTAACAGGATTTCCCTGGGATTACCAAAAACAGGGAAATGTTTAGGCCAGACCATAGAGAGCCAGTTCATGGCTTTAAACAACTTTGAAGTTAAAAATCTCTGCACTGAGCAAATGTGCTTGGGAATTGTTTCAAATGAGCTCAGTGTGCCAGCAGTCACAGCTCCATAGGACAGACTGTGCCAGGAGCACAGGGGAGCAGAGGGAGCAAGGCAGGGAGGAGGTGACAGGGTGAGGTCACAGCTCAGGGACATTGCAGGGCACAGGAACTCTGTCACCCTGCCATCACCCCTGCATTCCACAGCTGAAGGAAGCAGCTCCCTACAGCATTCCCAACCCCTTCAATATTCATCCTGAGCTCACAGAACCAGCACAGCCCTAATGGCCTCCACCTACACACCGTGGATTCAATTAACACACAATTAAAAAAGGTGAGGCAATATGAGAGCTTTAGTGATCCATTTTGCATCACAGCACAGCTTATTTTTTTATATTTATGCACTACATTTTAAAAGCAGAAGCCATCAACTTCAATCATTCTAATTAGGTGACCAAAAACTGCTTTTGTCTGTCTTTCAGAGCGGTTTTTTGCTGTTGTGGTTTTGTTTTTTTAATAAATTAGGACCAAAAGTTACAGTTCTCAAACACTGGAACAATTCCCTATCTGGGACTGAACATAACCCATGGCTATTGGGGGAAATTTTCCCAGGAAGTTCAAACCCAGCTGAGCTGCAGCAGTGGAGCCTCCTCTGAACTGGAGAAATGAACAGAAATAATTGCAGTGGGAGAATAAAGGATTGAAGGTGGGATTCCTGGATGCTGGGGAAATCCTGCTGTTTCCTTGCACTTCCTTAGGCTTTGGCACCAATAATGCTCCCAAATGTTCAGCCTCACCTTGCCTGTGAAAGCCTGGCTCAGCCAACACAGAGTTATTCCTCACTTGATCTGCAGACACTTCAGACTCTTCCTTGTCACCATTTCCTCTCAAGCAGATCTGACTTAAATCAGCTCCTTCCACACCTCAGGCAAATCAAGGACTCTGAGATTCCTCATCTCACTTGGCTTTCAATCACTTGACCCACTTCTTTACCATCTTATTCCCTCTACACTCGAGTGTGACAAAGCTCCCAAACTCATTCCCAGCTGCCCCTGTTCCCCTGGCTCTTCCCTTCATGTTCTGAGGAATGACAGGACCAGGCTGGCACACTGAGAGCACAGCAGCAGCCCAAGGTCAGACTCAGCTTGCAGAGCAAAGGCTCCATTGATCTCTAAGCACAAGCACTGGCAGCAGTCAGTGGGTGGGGATGTGCTGGGCTCAGGGACAGGAGGACAGGGAGACATCGATCCCATGGGCTCCTGGGGGGAAAGGGAATTCAGCTGAAGGCATTTCCCACTCCAGACCCTGCAGTTTACTGAGGACACCCCTGTGTGTGCAGCTCCAGGGCTCCTGGCTGTGCCCTGCTCCTGCTTTGATCTGCTGGTTGTGTTTGTCTGTCAGACAGAGCAGCAGGGGCCGGGGCAGCTCTGTGTTCAGCTGAGCTGAGGGGCTCCCTGCCAGCACAAATGGAAATGCTCAATCCCAGCAGCAGCTCCAGCCCCACCAGTGTCTGGGGCGGCTCAGGATCACAGGGATGAACTGTGGAATCATGGGTTGGGATGGGAGGGACCTTAAAGCCCATCCAGTGCCACCCCTGCCATGGCAGGGACACCTTCACTGTCCCTGGGTGCTCCAAGCCCCGTCCAACCTGGCCCTGGGCACCTCCAGGGATGGGTGTCAAATGGAATGTCATCCCAGCTGGCTGGGGAGAACTGGGCAGTTGGTAGAGAGCATTTTCTAAATCTGGCTCTCACTTGCACCAGCAAGTGAACGTGAACTCTTGACTTTGTTTCAGGTGAATCTGGCAGAAATGGGGCTCTTATGATCAAAGGTTTCTCCAATCTTTGTACAACAAACCCAACAAAACTCAAGAGACACAGAGGCAGAAGAAAGAGACCAAACAGTACCTTCAGCCCAGGCAGGGTGGAGCACTTGTGACTCTGTCAGACGTTTTTGAATGTGTACAACAGAATCCAAAGCATGCACACTGCACAAAATTGAAAATATAGGCACAGTAGTAACTGCATTCCAAATACCTTGTGAGCTTCCTTCAGATAAGCAGATTGACACTTCATCATTCCTATCATTATCATCCCCCACTTCAGTAGCAGTTTCCTCTCCTGGATTAAGTGCTGATTTAGAAACAAATTCAGATTGATCAGAGAAATCAGCAGGACCTCCTCTAGGGGGTGGGACCTCAATCCCCATTAAACGATATTTCCGTCTTCGATTCCCAATCCAAGTCTTGTAAGAGAAATAAACATGAATGATATCAGAAACTATGACAAAAGCAACAGGCCCCCAACCAAGTGACATCAGACATCTGGCCTACAGGAGCCAGGGTGCAGCCAGCAGCTCAGGGAGCTCAGTATTCCCCAGTGTTTCCCCCTCCTGAGGCTGCTCCCCAAATCCCGTGCCAGGTTCAGCCTTCCAAGGGAAACAGGAAGGTGCACAGCAAAGGAAAAGAAGCAATAGGTACAAGTGGCAGCAGGAGAAGTTCTGATTGGAGTTGAGAATATAAAAGAAAAAATAATGTTTTACAGTGATTCAGAGGGACAGTTTGTCCATAGAAGCCTTGGTAGCTCCAGCCTTGAGGTACTCAACGTTTCAATGGACAACCTCCTGAGAAACCTGGCTTGATTCTAAAGTAAATCCTGCTCCAGATAAAGAGCAGGACTGAGTGACTTTGTAAGGTCTCTGCCCCCCTAAATTATTCAACAAATTTAACATAAGATCTCTGGTCCAGGTTCTCCTACTCTGCAACTCCCGACAACCCAGACACCTCCCCTGTTCTAGGATTTCCCACAGCACAGAGGGAGCTGGCCAAGGTGACAGATCCACAGCACTCCCCTTGGAGGACAGAAAGGAACCTGGAAGGACAAAGCTCAGAGCAGCTCATCCTTCATCCCCTTTGGCTGTACAACAGAGCTTTGGGAAAAGCTGTTTACAGTGAGTGCAGAGGAGCACACTGGGAACAGTCTGGGAGATAAAACCAGCCCAGGAAACCTGGAAATCCTGCCATGTGGATGGAGATGGATGCTTTAAGTTCATCTCACATCAATAAAATTGAATTTCAAAGGAGAAAATAAAAAGAAGAAAAGACCCACATTTTAAATTCTCCAAGTGGATTTGTACACCTGGTCATTAATTTGCCTTCTCTGATGAAGAAACATTTACTTAAAAAATTATTAAAGATTCAGAGCTTAACACGATGTAACAAGAATTGTCTGCAACTCTTCACCTCCTGCTGCTCTCCTGTCCCTTGTGTCACCCAGGCTTTCAACTTCTCATCTCAACTCTGCTCAACAGCCCCTGTACCCCAGACCCTCCATTCCACCAAAGCAGCCTCCACTGGCAACCAAAACTTCCCAGAGCCAGGAATTCCCTTCTTCACCAACTGCCCCTCCCACTCTCTGGGGCTGGCTCTCATCCCCTTCCCACCACCCACAGCCCCAGAAACAGCAGCAGCTCCTGCCTTTGGAAACATGACCAGGCCATGGCAAAATGCACATCCTTTCCATGAGGCCTCTGTTCCAAATGAGTAACCCAAGACATTCAAATGTTTCAGGATTTTCTTTAAAGGCACACTAAGCATCACCCTGGCCTTATTTCAGAAACACCTGCCCTGTTCCTCTTCCTAGAGTTCTCAGAAAGTTGAATAAAAAACTTTTTGCTTATAATACCTTGATTACCAAAGAGAAAAAGTAAAGGAATATTAACAGCAGTCCCAAGTACTAAACACAGTTTCATGCTGTGCCAGCCTTGGAAAAAAAACCAAGCCTTTTAAAGCTGCATCTCTAACAAGCTGAAAGATAACATGCTGAACACTATTTTTAGCAAATCTTTTTTGTTGGCTGGTATTTGCTTTCCCAGCTTGCTGATTTTCCTATTTGAAGAATGCACAACAGGTATGCAGAGAACTACCTAGATCATTTTTTTCTATTACCTACAGTTTGGGGGAAAAAAAATTAAAGAAAATCCCCCACACAAGCAGCCCTTTGAGATCTGAGTCTCTTTTTCCAAGCAGTGTATTGCCATTCTTTAAATTTTCCAATCATCTTGTGATTTTACCAAACAGCGCTAACAAAAATTTAAAATTCAATCTATCTCTTCTTTAGTAAAGAAGGCACTTGGGAAAGGCAGATCTTTTCACAGGCTTTTCAAAGCAGAAAATCTTTCATTCAACATACTGAGAATGTCAGAGAAGATGAACATGTTTTGATAGTGTCTCAAATTAAATGGGGGAGAGAAGGTTCCACATCCTGTGTGCTGTGCTGAACAGAGAACATTCTGGAACAGCAAAACAGTGAGGGCAAGAGCAGACTGGGATTGCCATGTGGGAAATCAGCATGAGAGCTCTATCCTTATAATATATTCTTATCCTTTATCTAAAATACATCCTTAAACCATTCCAGCAAGGTCTGTGAGTGGATGGCATCATTTGTGGTCTGTTCTGGTGCAGGTGATGGCAGAACCTTCTGGGGGGTCCTGGTCCCTGCCCTGGGCACAGAAACATTCCAGCAGGAGGAAAGGTTTGCACAGAACCCCAGAGTGACAGCCCTGTGTGCCAGGGGGGATCAAACCAAGGGTGTCACTGTGCTGTGCAGGAGGGGCTGCAAGGGGAAAAACTTCACCTTCAGAGAGCAAAGGGAAACAAGGAGCAGCTTTCCTCTCTGCAGAGAAAAGAGTGATTCTCTTCAGCCTCCAAAAGTGCAATTGGGCTTTTTAGAATCCCTGTGTGGCCACAAAAACAAAAACCAGATGGGTGTTCAGCCCTGGAAGCAGCTTTGGGACCATGTGGATGCACCAAGGCAGAGGTCTCGGGCTCAGCCCTGCTGCTGCAGCACTGCCAGGGATTCAGGAAACAGGTGCACAAAGAGGATGAAGCCTGGAAGGAATAATCCCAATTGTCACACCCGTCACAAGGGAAAGGAGGGCTCCTGTCCCTGTCTGACTGCAAACACTGGGGCCATTTCCTGAGGCTGGGATGGGCAGAGACCCCAGGGGTGCTGCTGGGTGTGTGCTCATCCAGGACACAGTGACACAGTGACACCACAGCCCAGCCTCTGGAGGAGATGATGTGCACATTCTGGGAGCCAGGTCATCTCCAGCACACCTGGGCCTCCCTCAGCCTCCTACAGCAACCATCAAACAGAGCTGACCCAGAATTCCTCCATCACACCTCAACCTGCCCTCAAGACAGTCTGGTAACATATTTTTTTTTCTATTTTGGAGCATTTTCTTTCATACATTTTTCCCTATAAGCATGAATGAGAAGTATTTTCCCTGTATCTTTAGAAAAGCCCTTTTTTGGTATCTTATTAGCAATGTAAATAGTACCTTTCAGTCTTCTAGGATCTCCCTCAAAAATGTAACACTTTTACTTAAAATCTTCCTCAAGAGAATGTCAAACAGCTCCTAGTGCTGCTTCTGCTGCTGATCAATAAGACCCTGACCTGAGGGCTTTTACTAAATATAGACTGCAGAAAGAGCAGGAGAGAACTTCCCAACATGGTCATTCATTATGTAATACGTGAAATCTATTTCAAGCTTCCTCATGAAATTTTTAAAGCCTTTCATCTGTCCTATTTTTGCTCCTGCGACAAGATAAGGGAAGACTCTGGATTTCTTACCCGAACTATTTCACAGTCAACATTTAATTCTGCAGCCACAGCTTCAATTTTCTCTCTGCAGACTGAGCCCAGGCTGGTCATGCCATTGTCCCAGTATTTCTTTAGGGTAGCTAAGTCTCGGTCACTAAATTGTGTGCGGTCCTGTAACTGCAAGATAAAAAAAATACTGTTAGATTGAAAAGGAATCTGCTTATCCTGAGCACTCACGTCCACAGGTCTCCCACACAGCAACACACACGTTCCACTGTCTCCATGGCTCTTCTTCTCTTTTAAGTCTCCCTTAAGAATTTGGGGTTTTTTTGATTTCTTTTTTTTATCCAGGGCACTTCAGAGTTCCCTGGGATTTGCTGTAAAGGCAGTGGCAGCATTAACACAAAGTTTGAGGCACTTCAGCTTTGTTTCAACTCCACCTGATTTCTTTGGTAATTTGTTTTATCTCATTCTATAAGGCCTTACTGAAAATAACTTTTTTTCCCCCTTGTGCTGTTTACTCTCTCCACCCAATTTATGCAAATTACTCCTTAAAGGCTTTTCAAGTTTCTCACCCTCCCCCCTAAAAGTTCTTTTATCTTACTGCAAACTACAACACATGCATAATTCAAAGGATTCTGACTTCCTAAAGGGAATACTTTAATGTTTATGTGGTGAGCTTGAGTTTAAATTGGTTCCACTGTTTATCTGTGAGTTCCCAAACTCTTTGTCTGCGTTTATCAAAACATGTGATAATGGATCAGTGATAAAAGGAGTAACACTGAAAAAGAATTCCTAAACATCTCACCACTGTTTGAACTGGTGTGAGCACAGAAAGTATTTCTCTGGTAGAGCTTCCAAGCTTTAACAAAAGCTTTTCATGCAGAATTTTATCTAAAATCTACAGTTTCATTACACCAAACCATGCTTTTCACTTTTCCTGCTATTCAGAGGACAGAAAATCAACCACAAAGTCTGCACTGGTAACTTGAGCCCATGTGCCACATGTGTCATTATTTCAGTAGCTGAATTGTGTTCATGATTTCAATAGCTGAATTCTGGGTTTGCTCATTTAAAAACCGTTAAAAGTTAGAAAGAAATAATTTTAAGTGGAATAAAAAGTAATTTTACAGAACTGGGATCATTTGACAATCTTGTACGGTTCCCAGTTCTAGCTTTTGTTAATCTTCAGAATATTGTAATTGTTGCAATTTTCCTCTCTTAAAAATTACTATTTCTCAAAATGTTAGAAACACTCGAGTCTCCTCAATGTATGAACCCAAAACAGAGGCATCAAACTTTTGTCTTCCTGAACTAATCCCAGTAAAAAGATGCACCAGATAAATTCAAATGTGGTTTGGTTGCACTTGCTGACCTTGGAGGCCTTTCCAACTTTGATGAATCCCGAATTAATTGAGTGCCCACCAGGCACTCAGAGCTATTCCTGGCTGTAGTTCCACCATCTCATCACTATTCAATGGTTTTCACCTCATAACTGCTGTATAATGATGTTAATGTAATTTATACTTTCTGCTTTGGAGTCTCTGTCTCATTTTAGCCATTTTGTTCTCCCAAGGCCAGCACGGAGGAGCCCCAGTGCTCTGCCAAGTGAGAGCAGCTCTGTGGGACCATCATTTACACACCCTGCCCTCAATAGCTGCACCAGCATCACGGGATCAGCGTCACTCCCAAGCTCAGCAGCTTGTAAATGTAAATGACACTTGAGCATGGCCAAATCTCAGCTCCAGATTAGCTGCTTCTGTAACACGCTGTGCCATGGGCCTTATCAGCACTTTCTTAGGGAAATCACAAACTACCTTCAATTACAGGATCATCCCCTTGACATGGATCATACCCAAGTTTGACTCCCGCATTATAAACTGCTTAAAAATTACATAATGACTTTTGTCAGAAAATAAAGGATAGAATTTCTATATTGTGCATGTAACTAAGCTTCCATCAATTTAGTTAATAACCTTCCCGTGCTTAATATCATCAGAGGAAATGAGGGACCAAGAGCAAAACCTCAGAGCCCTACAAATATCTTAATATCCATCATAATTGGAGAAAATATCAAAAGATAATATTGGAAAGCTTCCTATCTATGACAATACTTATAGGTGAAGGCAAGCCAGTAATTCAGTTCTTGTTTTTTACGTCATTAAGCTCTGAATACAATTCTCATTTCCTCTCTTCAGATAGCCAGCTTGCTAATTCAAGGCTTGGCTTTGATAGTGCTGGCTGTTGGCTGAATCCTTTACATTTCCCACTTCTGCTGGCCACAGTTTAGGAAGCAGCAGAGGCTTTGTCCAGCAGAACCCAGCCTGTGCATTCCCAAGGAAAAGCAAATTCAATCATCAGCTGTGCCGTGCAGGGTTAAACCCGGCTTATCCCCGACCTCCCAAGTGGAACAACACCATCCTTGGAGGAGATGACCCAGTTTATCAGAGACATTCCTGGCTCTCTGCCAGCCCCTCATCCCCCACAGAGCAGCAATTTCTGTGGTGCAAATCCGGTGTCTATAATTGGGGTGAATAATTGCACAGAGTGGAGTGTCCTCATCCTGCCTCTGCTCAGAGCCTGCGCTTCCACAGCGGCTCTCACGCAGCACTTGAAAATGTTTCAGGCCACGTGCACAAAGCTATCCACAAATTTCAGATTATTAATCAAAGACATGCTAAAAAATGGAAGAACTTGAGGTTTTATACATAACTTGCATTTATGCTGCAGCTGAGCACTGTGTGTGCTGTTCATTTCAATTGCAGTGAAATCATATTAAATCAACATTCAGTTCTGATGCTTGCTGATGAATTGGGCTGAGGTAATGGTTATTTTTAGCAAACAAACCTCTCACAAACAAATTTGCCATGCCTTTGATACCTGTCACTGCTTCTCTGTTGTATTTTGGGAGGAATGGGAAGATCAGAAGCACTCAAAGTATTCAAGGTATGAATAAATCCCAGATTCTCCTGTAAAAGCACAGTCTCATTTTGCCTTATTCACCTTTCCCAGTGACACCAGCATGGAGCTCTCTGAACCCTGACACTAATTAATACCTGTTTTCTTCAGAGATTTTCAATTCCCACCTCAAGATCTTATTTGTATGTATTGACAGTGACTTCTGAATCATTCCACTACATTTCTCCTTTCCCATCTGCACCATTTAGTATCATTCTTACTTTTCAGTTTATCATTTCTTGATTTCCCACATACAAATTCTGAAGGCCTGCATTTTCCCCTAACACACCAAGATATTTAACCTCATTAAAGCTGTTCCAGATTATACATTCCCTCAGCCTGAGGTTTCAGCTTCAGGTTTCACCAGTGCCACAAAGCTGCCCCCTGTCAGTGACAGCCATGCTGAGCTCAGGCTGGACACTGCTGCTCACACAGCTGCACAAAGCAGGCACTGAGGGGTCTGAGGGCAGCCTTGCACTCCTGCTCACACCTTCCACTCCTGCTCACACCTTCCACTCCTGCTCACACCCTTCCACTCCTGCTGCTCACACCTTCCACTCCTGCTCACACCTTCCACTCCTCCTGCTCACACCCTTCCACTCCTGCTGCTCACACCCTTCCACTCCTCCTGCTCACACCCTTCCACTCCTGCTCACACCTTCCACTCCTGCTCACACCCTTCCACTCCTGCTCACACCCTTCCACTCCTCCTGCTCACACCTTCCACTCCTCCTGCTCACACCTTCCACTCCTCCTGCTCACACCCTTCCACTCCTGCTCACACCCTTCTGCTCCTGCTCACACCCTTCCACTCCTGCTCACACCTTCCACTCCTGCTCACACTCCTCCACTCCTGCTCACACCCTGCCAGGTTCCTGCAGCAGAGACTTTCTGCATCTCTCCCCACTGGCTGGGTAAGCATGAAGTTTGCTCTGATGGAAGCAGAGGTGATAAATATTTCATAGCATCCCATTGTAAAAAGAGCTGTAACTGCTTCAGCACACAGCCAAAATTACAGATATTCTGTTAATATCTGTTTCTAAATCAAACTCAACTAAAAAGATTTAAAAAAACCAAAAAGATATATCGATGCAATGAACAGTCTAGCAAAGAAATGACACTCTGAGCCCTATCTATCAATGTATCCCTCACACTGGACCAGAAGGTTCTGCAGTTCAGGCAGGATGCACTCCTTGCCTGCAGGCTCCCAGCACAGTGCCACAAATCACCCTCAGGTGCCCTGACTGCAGGAGCTTTCATGAATCCCTGCCAGGGCTCTCTGAAGCTGCTCTGAGGTGTTTGCTCACAGCTCACATTGGTTCTCCTGAGCCCTGCACGCCCCAGGCCAAGGAGGAGCTTTCTTTAGGGTTGTTCTGATGTGTCTGCCCCAAAAATCCAGCTGTGCTCCCATGCCCAGAACAGCTGGGGCAGCTGTCACACCTCAGCCCCTCCACCTGCCCAAAGTGTGCCTGCACTCCTGTGACAGTTTTACTCAAACAGCCAATGTGCAAACAGTGACACAAAAATCCAAATCTAGCACTCTCCACCCATTTCAGTATTTTCCTGTTCCAGATACAACAGCCTGAGAGCCCAGACACCCCAAAGTGAAGCTCAGGGCAGACAGGCTCCCCCTCTCTCCCCCAAAATGGAGCTTCACCACTAAAGCCCAGCTTACCCAGAGCCAGCACCTGTGTGATAAATGTTCTCCTTTAAATCTACCCCAAGCACAGCCCATCCTGCTCAGACCCCAGCTGACACAGAACTGAAGCACAGTCAGTACACTCAAGACCTAAGAACAGAAGTGAAGATATTTTCTCCCTTTTAATTCTCCTTAACTGGTACCTTCACTGCTATTTTTGAATCCTTGTTATCCTTCCACCACCCTGTGAAAAACCAAAAATCAATGCATTCATAAAGGCCACTGCACATGCACCAGGACACAGAACTCTGGCATTCCAAAGACACTCTCATGAGTTACTGACAGGGTAATATTTCTAGACTAATATTCATTAACAATCAGGATTACATCATCCTACAGCAGAGCTGAGCACACAAGAAAGAGTTTCTGCAGAACTGCACAGCTTTTATTTCTCTCCTGATACAGTTGAAGGACAGGGCAAGGGAAACAAAACATCAAGGCAGAAGATTAAAAATTCAGAGCATCTAAAAGACAATCTTCTCCATTTTAACCAAAATACAGATTAGCCTTTTTCCTGTTTGAATGGCAGTAATTGCCATAATGGCACTTCTACAACTCCATCCATTCTATTTCTGTTCCCTCACACTCTTTATTCAGAAGAATTTCACAGTTGAAACCAAAGTTTCTAGGAAGTAGGAGCTTTTTCTCCTTTGCTTGTCTTCCCCCTGTGTGTACACAGCAGTTTCAGAGTGCCAAGTCCTCCACTTGCCCCCTGAAGGAGGCTGAATCTGCACTCAGGCTGGGAAAGTGCATCCACAGATCTGGACACAGATGTTGTCAAACAGATTGGATTAACCAAAGGGTTTTATGCATTGTATTGATTAAAAAGATAAATGAGTAAAGGTCTAAGGAAAAAGAATTCTCTAATTACCATCCTTAATGGTCTCTCACTGCAGGGAAGAAAGACATTGAGAGGATGGGGACAGAGAAGGGAATGGAGCTTGGGCAGGGTCTGGAGCCCCAGGAGGGGCTGAGGGAGCTGGGAAGGGAATGGAGCCCCAGGAGGGGCTGAGGGGGCTGGGAAGGGAATGGAGCCCCAGGAGGGGCTGAGGGGGCTGGGAAGGGAATGGAGCCCCAGGAGGGGCTGAGGGAGCTGGGAAGGGGCTCAGCCTGGAGCAAAGGAGGCTCAGGGGGGCCCTTGTGGCTCTGCACAGCTCCTGACAGGAGGGGACAGCCAGGGGAGGCTCTGCTCAGGGAACAGGGACAGGAGAGGGAACAGCCTCAGGCTGGGCCAGGGGAGAGTCAGGAAATCAGGAAATATTGGAAACCAGGATATCAGGAAATACTTTATCACTGAAAAGGTTGTAAAGCATTGGAACAGGTTGCCCAGTGCAGGGGTGGAATCACCATCCCTGGAAGTGTGGATGTGGCCCTTAGGGACACAGTTCAGTGGTGACCCTGCTGATGCTGGGCTGACTCAATGATCTGAAAGGTACTTTCAAACCTCAGGGACTCAATGATTAATGAACAGGCACCTCCACATCCTTGAATGTTTACATTTACTCCAGAAATGCCTTCTACTGCTGGGGTCAGGTATCCAGCATGACCACAATGCCCAACAACCCCCAGTGCTGCAGGCAGGGGCCAACATCACCCCAGTCCCAGCCCTGAGCTCCCACTGCCAAATCTGAGCTGGCTCTGGCACACACCTGACCCCAGAGCAGCACTGAACTCTAAAAACAACCTCAGCAGCAGAATTTGTACCTGCCAGGTCACACACCCCACCTGGATTACCTTACAGCTGGGTATTGGCTGAAACCTCCCCATTTAGCTGTGAAACTCTACCCAGGACACTCCCCAGCTCCTTGGTGAGATGCTCTGAAAGGTCATTAAGTGATAGAGGGAATGAGCCTTCCAGAAAAGAGCTGCATTTTTAAAAGCCTCCTCAAGAGAATTAGCACTTAGGAAAGAAAGAAGATGGATTGAGCACAACAGGATTTGTACAAAAGTACCAGCTCCTCTGGGAAATGCTCTTATAAAGTGCTCTCTGTACAAAAAGAAGTCATTGTACCAAACTCTGCAGAAATGGGAAGTGCTTCAGCTGAGACCTAGAAAAAGTCTGAGAGAAAACACCATTAACTGATGGTCCTCAGATTCCTACTTACACAAGAAACACTGCCACACTCACACTTTTGGGAGACTGAAGAACTGAAAATAATAAAGGAAAAAGTTTTGGTTACAGCAGGAGAAAGCAGGGAGAGGATTTTCCATTGCCTGGACCTCACTGCCAACAGAACAGGCACTGCCAGGGCATTGCCAGGACACTGCCAGGACACTGCCAGGACACTGCCAGGACACTGCCAGGGCACTGCCAGGGTATTGCCAGGGCACTGCCAGGGCACTGCCAGGGTATTGCCAGGACACTGCCAGGGCACTGCCAGGACACTGCCAGGGCATTGCAGGACATTGCCAGGGCACTGCCAGGGCATTGCCAGGACACTGCCAGGGCACTGCCAGGACACTGCCAGGACATTGCCAGGACACTTCCAGGACATTGCCAGGGCACTGCCAGGACACTGCCAGGACACTGCCAGGGCATTGCCAGGACACTGCCAGGGCACTGCCAGCTCCACAGACTGGGGAGTTTGGTTTCCAGGGCAGACACTTCCCCAGTTGCTGCCTCTGACAGGGCTGGGGTGACAGAGCAGCCCTGCAGGGCCTGGCTGTACCATCCCCCTGAGGCTGGGTTTGCTGGTGAGCACGCAGAACTGACACCTCCTCAAAGACAAGCTGCAAATGCTGAGCATTAACTAAAGAGTTGGGCAGGGTTTTGGGTTTCTTTTCCCCTGACAAAAGCTGTTTCATACCTTGTGTTATGGTTTGGAGTGTCTGTGAATTGAGGACACCAAACTGGCTGATTCTGCTACTGTGAAATGACATTTATGTGGATAAAATTAGACTTGATCAAGTTCCTACAGCCAGCACTGACTAATTCTGTGCATGTGCAGAGAAGCTGCAGAGGGAGTTACTCTCTGAAGTATTCAGTTGCCTCAATGAACAACCATTTCACCTTCAATATAAAAAACACATCTGAGCTCCAACCTCTCAGTCCTGATCAACTCAGATGTTGTTGAGCTAAGAGCTGATTCCTACCTGGGCATCACCTCACACTGGATTACAACCTTGACCTGCTTTTAAACACAGACATCATCTTCACCTCAACTGAGACACTGCACCTGCAGACAATGTTTGTATCAAAGGAAAAAAGGGAAAAAACCCACCCAAGGTAAATAGAACTGACATTTTCAAAAATGCATTTTTATCAACTTTTCATTGCTTCACTTGATGCATTAGATTAGATACTTAAATGAAAATGTACTTACTGCTCTCTTTCTGGAACAACCTGTAATCCAAGGCACAGTAAGGTTTCCTGAAATCTGCAGAGGGGAAGGAGGAAACAGAACAGAAAACAAGAGCAGCTTAGGTTGATGTGAGAGCCAATACTGAGACTGCAGCACTGTGCATTCAATTCTGACACCAACGTCTGTAAACAGGTAAAGACTGAAAACCAAAGTCACACTCACCTTTACTGCTAAGAATAAAACATTGTTTCTTTGGGTGAGGGCAAGATAACACAGTGACAACTGGGGTGTTCCTGTACTTTTGGTACCCCAAAACTTGGATTTCACAACAGCAGTTTCCTTTTCCATCTGGCAGGATGAGCAGACTGGGGTCAGACAAGGGCTGAGGACTGAGGTGCCCTCACATCTTTTCCAATTGCTTCACTTCAACTTCCAGAAAAAATGCTCTCGTGTTTGTCACTGAGCTGTTCAATGTCTCATGTTAAAGGTCTGAGTACCAGCAGAAACTACAGGGATTTCAGGATGGAGAAGGAAGGAGAAGGGGTGTGGAGGCACAGGAGAGCTGCTTCCATTCCTGCTGCTTCTCCATCATTCCCAGAGGTCAGACTGTACTGAATAAATCTCAGAGCATTTTCCCTGACCATCTGAGGGGTGTCATAGCCTGGAATATCTCAGGCTTATTTAAGATTCCATGTTCATCTCCTGCTGCAGACAAGCAATGCTTGAGAGACTAAACACAGCTCTGGAGAGATCAATCACCTGTGAGGAAAAAACCTGTGCACTCTGACTGACCCAAAGTGCTCTGAGAGTTTCTGTGTTTGCAGAGTTCCTCACTGAAGGCTCCTGCAGCACAACAAGCACAGCAGCCTTGCTACAGGTGGCTGCTGTACAAACACAGAAAACACTTTTATTCTTCAAGCTTTTAGCTGGAAGCACTTGGAGGTCACCCAAAGTCAGACACTTTCTCATGACAGCACAAGGAGGGTTGAGGGGGATGAAAGGAGCACCCTCCCCTCTCAAGGACCATTAGGGTTTGAGCCTAAAATATTAATTTCTGCACTGCACACACTTTGTCTATTGTAACCCCTGTATCCCACACAACAGCTTCACACCACAGAATCCACTGCAAAGGCACCCTGAGGAATCACCCAGGTAACTCCTTTTCATTCATTTAAAGGGGGCTACAAAAAAAAAAAAAAAAGTGATTTTCTATGGGAATAAAGCAAAATCTACCTGGCAGAGCATTAAGGGTTGCTGGGAAGACAAATGCACTCAGCTCTGACAGGGACAGGGCCAAAACCAGCCAAGTTCATCTCAAGAGAACTCCCTGGAGTACAACATGCACAGCACTGCTCTGAGCTGCTTTGTCAAGGGCTGGGCTTGGGAACAGAGTAAATAAAAATACAGATTCTCAGCAGTGCTGCTGTCCCTTAGGGTGGGGGGAGAAACCAAGACTAACTCCCACCTCAGCCTGGAGGACAGCACAGGAACCTCAACCTCCAACACACCCAAAGTCAAACCAAGGCAAGCAAGTAGGCTGAAGAATTTGTTTACTGAAACTGCTCAGGCATTAAAATTGATCACTTAATTAAATTTAGTCTTAAGTTACACTAACATGAATTTGATTAATTGAACCAGTAAGGAAGCTATAACTAATTGCTAATTAGATACCCCACCAATATATGACAGTAATTGCTTCATCAAAACATGAATCACACAGTCCTGACTTTGAAGAAGCATCTGCTTGGATGTTCAACTACTCCAATAATCATTTAGCTCAGGTTTAATCTATTTTTAAACTCAAGAAGATTTCCCCAAGTTTAAGGATTTTCATCTCTGTGCTGATGGATAAATTAGCTAAACATGGGCAATAAATTAACATAAACTGGCTACAAAAAATGAAATGTCATCCTGTACAAGCCTAAAAGGATTCAAGCACCTTAGGAAGTCTGTAATACCCAGAAGTGTCACCTCAGGGGCTCACAGGGTGTGAGCTCACAGCAATAAGGGAATTAACAGCTTCCTGCTCAGCTCTCCCAAGGTTTAAAACTCTGGAATGACAAGGGATATGACAGGAAACAGAAGCTCCAAATCCAAAGAGCAGGGTGTCAGACAGGCATGGAGGTCAGCTGGGGTACAGATGAATTCCTCACTTATCAGAAAACCAGGTGTGTTGTTACAACAGGGGGAAGTAAAAAATACCCCAAAACAAAATTCCAGAGATCTTATTCTGATCCATAAAACACCACACAAGCAGGTAAAATATCATCTACCATGAACTGTTCTAGCTCTTCAAAAAGACTCAGTTCCTACCCCATAAAACTCCCAAAACAAAGTTATTCTTAATTTCACTTAAAAAAAAATTAAAATAGAAGAAATCAATCTCTCTGATGCTTTTTCAAGAGTGAAATAAAGCACCATGAGCACACAGCTGATGGAGGCATCAGTAATGGATTTCCCTTCCTGAAACTTTATAAAATGCCTTTAAGCACTTTCACCAACCCTTTACTGGATCTGCACATTTACAGCTTTTCCTCTCCTGTGAAACTGGGGTGGCAAAACTAAACAGCATTTCAGGAATTCTATAATTCCTGAAGTAAGTATACTCCTATAACTCCTATAACTACCTATAACTCCTGCAAGTAAGAAAAGTAACAGCAAACACTGAGAGACTGTGTGAGAGTAGAGAACAGCTCATCTGATGTGAATCTACTCCCCAGAATTTACCCTCTGTCCATCAAACCTCTGCTTTACCCAGAGCAGTAATAATTCAGGTGAAAACTGGCACTGACTTGGACTCAGAAGTTTTCCTTCAAATGTCACATGAGATAGGAACAAGTCAGGAAAAAAGGAAAAGAAAAACTAAAAAAAAAAACTAAAAAAAAACATGATTCACAAAGTCTCGTTCTCTACCCTGGTGAGCAAAGCACAGGGAAAGCTGATATGCTGTCGACATGGTTTATTTTCAGGAGAAAATAAAAGGGCAATAACAGGCAAGTGCATGCAGGTGACACACACAGAATCACATTCTGTCAGCCTTAAAAGACTTTTACCTCAGTATCTCCAGGCTATGTCCTGCCAGATGGTGTAAAAATCCATAAAAAATACCAATCTGGATGTTTCCTGCACAAGTATCTCTCCCCTTGTAATACCAAAAACTAAAAAATGTGTCAAGTGCTGCAGTTTCTCCTAAACATCCTTTAGTTCTTCAATGATCTGCATTTAATTTCCCCTCAGTATCACTAAAGGGATTTTAGTACAGGAAAAGGAATAAAGGGATTGAATGTAAAACTGATTATTTGAATTGATGCTGTGGGAAAGGAAGCTGAGTTAACTCCATCACAGGGGATCCTAATCCCTGACAGAACACAGAGGCTGCCACCTGCACAGGGGGTACAGGATTCCAGGCTGACATCAATGGGGTGAGCAAAGGCACAAATGTCAGCCTGAAACCACGTCCTGTGCCACGTGTGATGTGCTCTTGTGCCACGTGTGATGTGTGCCCACAAGAGAACACCCAGGGAATGGCCATGGCACGTGCTGGAAAGCCAGGGCAGCACAACCACCAGCTCATGGGTATGACCCTCCTGCAGCCAAAATTTAGCCTGGAACCCATGAAATCCTCACTGATCTTCACCATATGGCTACCAGGGGTTCATTTATACAGGCAGAAGTGCTACCACACTGCAATGCTGCCTGCACTGGGTTTGAGGAGGAATTATCTCCACTGGAAGGCATAAAAGGAACACAGCCTGCAGAAAGGTGCCACCAACTCTGAAACAGCATTTATCTACAACCTCAGCTTTGAGGTTTGAAGACAGAGAGAAACTGATGGATTACCTGGTAATTATTTTGGTTTTGTGACAGCCTCAGTTGACTTGAAGATGTAAAATGAGGAGAAAAGGTACTTCTGGCTGCGTTGGCAGGGTTATAAATCGTGCTGGACGCGGTGTGCAATGAGGTCCGTGCAGGCAGGTGGAACTCTCTGCTGTGGTACAGGAGATTGTCGGGCCCGTCGCGGGCAGGGCCCAGCTGTGCCCCGCAGCCCCCGCTGCGGCCCGGCCCGGCCGTGCTTTGGTTGTCCCCGCTGCGGCCGGAGCCGCTGCCCTCACAGTAGCGGGAGTAGCTCTGGATCTGCGCCCCCATGGAGGCCAGCTCCTCCTCGCGGGCGTACTCGTCCTCCACGTCGCCCGTCTCCATGGCGATGGACAGGCAGCTGCCCTCCAGCGAGGCCGCTTTCTGCGCGGCGCTGCCCGGCACCAGGCGCTGCGGCTGGTCCGTGACGGCCAGCGAGAACACCTCGCGGATCTCCAGGTTCTGGGTGCCGCAGCCCGGCTCCCGGGGGTGAGCCCTGGGCCCCGGGGGAACGTGCGGCGCCAGGGCCGCGGGCTCGGCCTTGTGCAAGCGCTGGCACGCCAAGGGCTCGGCCCTGCAGGGCCGGTGGCAGATCATGGGTTTCTGAGGTAACACCAGCTCCGCCGTCTGCACCGAGGAGCTGCCGTAGCTTTTCTTCGTGTGACTGTAGATGGAGTTCGCAGAATTGAGCACGCTCGTTTGCCTGGATAGAATAATGGTCTTTTCCCCCACCAAGAGGGAAGCGTTTTTACAGTGGGGCACCTGCCGTCCCAGAGGGATGTGCTGCTGCTGGAAGTCCGCGTCGCTCTTGCCCGGGAGCCGTGGGACGGAGGTTTTGTGCAGCTCCGCCACGGCGGCGTTCGTGTGCTTGGCGGCTCCCGGGCGGCCCGAGGAGCCGGCGGGGCTGTAGATCCCGGTCACGATCACATCATTGTTAGAAGAGGTCCAAGAGGATTGCTGGCTTTGGGATCGAGCAATATTCACCACGTTTCTCACGGCTGCCTCCGGGGGCACGGAGGGAGTGGCGGGGGCAGTGCTCGGGGGGGTGCCCCCAGATTCCACGGCGATCTTGCTGCTCATCTTCCGCCGCTTGTTGCCAACCCACGTCTGCAAACGAGGCAGCAACGCCAACAAACACAAAACCGGATGTCAAAGAGGCAGAAAGAAATTAGCAATTCCATTTTTAAGCAGGTCTGATGACATGTTAAATGTTCGAGTTGAGATGTAAGTTTACAAATATGTAAATCATGTACTGATTATGCAGTGAACATGACAGGGTGGAAACACAGGCCTGAACAATACAGGGTAGAGATCCAGGCCTCTCCTCTTTGGGATCCACAACTCATACACAGGACAAGCCCAGCCTCAATTCCAAAACCCCAGCTTCCCAAAAATCCTGATGCCTCCTGTCTTGAAGTGTCAAGATTTTTTCACTGACACCACTGTGACTGATTTCATACAGGAAAAAAAACACCCTGCCATACACTATTCTACTCTACTAATTTTTTCCAAATTTTACAAAATGTCTAATTTGAGGTACAATTTGTAACATGCAGTAAAATGTCAGTTACTGGTCAGCTTTGCAGTCCCATTCTCCTGACCAATTGTACTTAGGGAATTCATGTGCCTATTATAATCCTATCTGCAAGTGCAAGCTGCAACTCAAGTATCATTTTGCAAAGAACTAATCACTGACCAAGAGTTTCACAGGATAAAAAGAAAAAAAGGGAAAAAGGGGGCATTTAGGAGAAGCAGAAATGATGGGTGTAAAGAAGAGAAAGGTAAGATGGTGCTAAAATGTGACAAATGCAGGACAAACACTGGATCTGTTTCCATTCTGAAGTAAGAAAAAGTTGAAGTGCTGCAAATCAGGGCTCAGGAAGAAAACAAGGAATGATCCTTGATTGCAGGAAGGGAAATGGAGAGGGAAGGGAAACATGAAGATGGAGAGAACTGCAAGGAGAGGGGAGCTGGGCTGCCTCCTCTAGGACATTCAATCAGCACAAAAATAGCAAAGCAGCCCCGGCTGCACCATCAGCATCCAGATTCCTGTTTCAACTGCCTGCCCGCCCCAGGAGCCTGAACCCCTGCCTGACTTTCACAGCTTCTACCACCTCCAGCTGAGAAAGCAACTTTTAATGTGCCCAGAGTTCTGAGAGAGGGGAATCCAGGTAAGGATTTAGGAGCAGGGTTGTTATTGTCAATGTGTCACTGTTAAACCAACTAAAAACCAACCTAGACTGGCCCCACTTGTTCCTCCTCAGTGTCACAGCAGCTCCACTGCCCTTTGTTATTTTTCCATCCAATGCCTCAGGATTTCTATTTCTGCTCTCTCTCGGACAACAGCCATTTTGTTGTCTAGTGTTTCACAAAGGGATTATTATTTCCCTTTCTGTGGAATTCATAGACTCTGGAAGAGCTCCTGTTAGCACTGGGACATTCTTGTTTTATAGGAAAAGAATGTCCTCACTGTGAATAACCACAAAGGATCACAATATTTATGATTGTGATGTGGAATACAAGTATGACAGAGTGCATCAAAAGAAATATTTCCATAATTGTTTCCCCCAAATTATCAATTTATAGAAACTTATTTAGCTTAAAAGTCGTTTCTTAATAACATTACCTTGCTCTGATATAATGTATCATACAAAGTTTCTATAGGGCAAGCCATCCTATAATTTAATAAATAATAACTTAAAAAATCCCAACAAAAGACAACAAAAATCACTCTTTGTGCAACCCAGGCCCCTGCTAAATTCAACAGTCATGTGAAGATATTTCAGTGAAAACAAACTCTAAATAGGCTCTCTGGGTATAAATAAATGTCACACACACACACTGAAGTCTGATCTACGACAAGGATAAAGTTAGAGACTCCAGACCTCTCTATATTTTATGTAAAGCAATGAATGTGTATGCTTAACAAATCTGGAAGGCCTCAGTACTCACCCTGACCACGCTGAAATCCAGTTTAGTTTCTTGTGCACACTGCAATATGAGCTGAAAGCAATTTTTACTTTGATTTGTCATTCCATTTTCATAGTACCGCTGCAATATCCTTTGTTGTTCTACAGTAAACACAGAACGCAGATTCATCTGAAAGGAAAAGGAGACACTGAAAGCTGGGTGGGAACTGAGCTGAGCAGGAGGCACAGCTCTCATCTGTGCCTGTGATAACGCTCAGGACTGACATGTTTTCTCTACAGAACCTTTTACCAACACTTCCTGACTTTCCAGGAAAGCCTCTTGCAATCAGAGCTGTGTCAAGCTGAACAGTGAACTGGATGTTTGGAACAACAGAGACTGCTTTGCACAAATAAATAAATATTACATGGTATTGCTAAGCCCATGAGGCTCTAGTTTGAAAGAGAAAGTTTCACCCTTAAAAATGTAAATGAAATAAAGGCATTAGGCAAAGCAGAGAAACATCAGCAGCTCCAATATTGGCAGGTCTGTTTCCCACCCCTAACAACAAAAACCAGATACAATTTGGTATAAAATGAAGGTGAGTGACACGAGTAAAGTTTCCACTGTCTCCAACTTCAGCAATTCCTGCACTCCACAAGAGCCAAACCTTCTGCTGTGTCAGTACTGGTACCTCCAGCTGCAAAGTGACAAGGATCAAGGACCAAAGACCAATCTGGGGGAAAGCCCCCAAGGAAGGGCTTTGGGCAGCCCTGGTGCTGCCCACCCAGTTTAACAGAGGAGGGACACCCATGTCCCAGGCTCTGCTGCTGTGACACCCCATGAAGACTGGAAATCTGGACTTTTAAGAACATGTAAGGGTTGTTTTCCTGGGATATAACCAATGCTGGCTTCAGGACCTTGGGATGTGTTCCTGCTCCTTGGCTCTGTCCAAAGTGGTGTTCTGGAACAGCAGAGGTGAATAACGATGGGTATTCAAAGTTCCAGCAGCAAAAACCCCACTTTAATGTTACAGCCTATTTTTATCCTGTTTTCCCAGTTATCGTGTTTAATTCCAATTGTTAGGAACTTTCTAATTGGTTGGGAACTTTCTTGCCACTCAATTCATTGGTGCTTGTGTGTGCACAAGCTAAGGCTCTCTCTTTACACAGGTGTTTACATCTTTTCTTTGTGCATTCTCATGGGGCAGGCTTCTTATTTTTCATAGATGCCTTCTTGCAAGAATAGACTGTTATGCAAACTGATTCCCATTCTTATGATTCTTTCTCATGGGAACCTAACAGGGTAGCTGTTAATTCAGCTGAAATAGCAAGGGCTGATTTTACAAGGCCTTTCTTTTATAAGGTTTTACCTCTACACAACAGTGCTCAGAAGTCAACCAGGACAAGAGGCCTGGGCTCCTCCTGGGCCAGCAGCAACTCCTCAGGTCAGCTCCCAGCCCTGGGTCCCCCTGAGCTTCACTGTGAGGACACAGGAGGTGGCTGGACAGGGCAGCACTTTGCTGAACACATTTAACCAGACATTGCTTTGTTATGTGTGAAAATTCATGCCCTGGCTTGGGAAAGGCAAACATTATTGCCAATATTATCAATATTATCAAGCACACAGCAGAATCCTAAGAGCAAACTGGAGCTTGGTGCTCTTGTTACACAATCTACACAGGCAAAGAATGCAATCCTCTGGGTAGATATCACACAAGAAGAGCCTCATCATCACAGATTTCCAAGGCAGGGCCTTTTTTTGTCCCAGACAGGAGGCCAGCAGCTGAGACAATGCAAGTGCCAGGAACAGGCTGCATCCACCGTGGTGCCTTGGGAAGCAAAAACGTCACCAGCCCCAAGTTATTTTAATGCAGTGCATAAATCACAAGAATACAGAATGAACCAAGGGAGAAGAAACCTGCCAACATCCAGTAGGAAAATAAAGGGGATGAGGGAACCTTTTGTAGGCAAGCAGTTTTGAAAATTCTGAATGGAAAGGAGAGGGATGATCTACTGAATCTTTGCACAAGAGCTGCTCCTATTATAAAGCAAATAAAATTATTAGGGGCTCAAAAGCATAAGTAGACATCCAACTGCTTTCACTTTATTCTCCAAGATGATATACCATGTAATGGTAATGGATGTTAAGAGTTCAACAGGCCTGTATAAAGAAAGAGATTGTTATCTAGAATTTGGAGTAAAATGCTTGTAAGCCAGAGCTTTGACTTCAGAGTTTACTTTCCTCTCTATGTCAACAGGCAATAGAAAAATCAGTAATTACCAATTTGTATAATTTGCTGTTTCTTTGAAATAACAGATAAAATAGAAGATGATTTTTCAATTACATTTTTTACCTCAGTTCTCAACTCTTATTCCCCCTCTCAATCCAGTGCATTATTAAACACAGCACCAGCTGCATTACAAGTCAGGTTTGCCCAAGTTCTGCCTCCCCCCAACATTTATTCAGTCACAGCCAGAGCTGGCCAAAGGAGACTCTTGCTCTGAATAATCTACTCCTTAAAGAAATTTATAGCAAGCAACAGAGGAGACAATTATTAGTCCATTAACAAATCAATAAAGTTCATCATAATCTACTTTCTCATGTTGAGAGCTGCCTCCAGATCTCCCATGTGGATACACAATGACAAGGCCACTGAATGATTTACATCACTCTGAAAGAACACAGAAGAGTTAATTTTGTGATTCTTTTTCCTCCTGCACAATTGGCAGCTCCCAGCTTCCACTCCTGTCTACTCCTGTTTCAGTGCTCCTGTTTTATTTAGTGGAGCTCAGTTCCCACAAAGACCTCATCAGAAACAGCTCTGAAACTTCATCTGTCCAGATCCTGCTGAAGTCACCCCCAAGCTCCAGCATTTCCATACCCAGGCCCACCACACCATGCTCTCCAAACAATTCACCAACTGCACTGGAGACTCTCCAATGGCAAGATGAATTTTTAAAGCCAGACCTGATGACCTGAGAGGGAAGACCCATGTCAGGTCCTTGACATGTTTTTTAATTATGTGGATTTCTGTATCCAAGGTCACTTCTGTGTTAAAATGCTTTCATTGTTGTATTTGACATCTGTAATTTAGATAAAGACAGGGTGGAGCATTTTGATTAAATCACTTGAACTTCAGATAAACCCTTGAGCATTGCATGACAGGCTTGGTCCAGCTAAGCTCAGGAGAGGTCATGCTCTGCTTTAATAACTCATTTTTACAGTGCATTTTAATCACTCAGGAACTACACCTGCCAACCAAAGTCCTGCTAACATTCCTTGGTAGCCTCTGCCTTGAATCCAGTAAAGCAGAACTCAAAGGTTCACTGCAGAGACCATTAGAAACTGATTTAAATAAACAGATTAGAGGATCCTCCAACCACAGAGTTATGAACTGAGTCATAACTGCAGTTTACATTACAACATCTAAACCTTCAAACAAGCAGGTGAGATTTATTAAAGCTTTTTGTGTCATGGATATACCAAACCTCAGTCAACAGACAGTTCTGTACCACTTCCACTGATTTCCCACCAGTGTGAAGGATATCTGGCAATATTCTGTCCCTGGCAGGTTCAAAGCTCTCTGATTGGTATTATGTCACCTGTAAATGCAGATGGAAATCAGTTTGCTATCAGCAGTTCTGAAGTGCTGATTCTGAATATCTAAAGCAGTACCCTGTGTTGAATAAACCAAAGGATAGGTGTTTGGGAGCTCCCCTGGAAAACCACAGAGTCCAGAGCCATGCCATTCATCCAGGAAAAGCTGGATTATCTCTGCACATCCCACCTGCACAGGCAACAAGTTCTGCTCACTGCCTGTGCCTGACACACCTGGGAATTCACCTACACTGGGTATATTCACACAGCTGTGAGAACAGAATGTTACTGTCTCTGAGACAAATTAATGCAGGATATGTTCATCAAAGGATTACACTGATTATTTTTTGGGGAAGTATTACATGTTCAGCATCAGTTTTCATAATTAGAACAAGAAATGAGCTCTTACATTTTCTTTAACACAGGAAGTAACTTGCAAAGTGCTAAATTAACTGAGCATTGAGGCATCAGAATGAAAGGAATGAGCAGGTCATTCACCTCCATCACAGACTATTATCCAAAACAACCTCAGTCCAAGGGAATAAACTCCTTTTCCCAATCTGTGCACCTACACAGCACTCCAGTCTCTTCAGGATTTCTCACCTTTGTCTTGAACCTCAGACTCCAAGTTAGAAATCCACATGGATTTTTATCATAATTTCATTTTGATCTTGACTTGCCAAGCTTAGCAAACAAGCCTGTGAGCTTTTGGGAAGCCAGGTGTCCAGCTGGTTGGCAACACATTGGCACTGAAAAGAGAGTTTGTTACAGAAAAGAACTCTGTGAAATTTAATAAAAATCAGGTAAAGCATTATGCAAACAAGTTCCATGAATGTAAGTTGAATTTTCACTTTAATAAAAGACAGAGGTGGCAAAGCTGTATTTAAGGATTCAACATCTGCCTGCTGTGATAAAATGCAGCAGCTTTGGCCAAGTGTGTTGGTGTCTCTGCAGTGCAGAGAAGAAGCCAGGACAGCTGCAAAAGCAGGGTTTCCAAAGTTCCCCTTGGCCCTGCTACCTGTCCCAGGCCAGGCATCACTGGTAACTCTGCACTCCCACGGTCTCACCCCTCACCCTGCTGTGAACCCAGCAATATAAAGATGTTTTTTCACTGCCTTTCTGAACTGAACGCCAATTTAAAAATCTGCTCATTGTAAGATCCCTCTGCTGTGTCGTGGTTTGGGAGGTGTGAATGGAGTCCAAGAGCTGTCAGGCACTGGGGACACTGGGAGATCCCAGGCTGTGACTGAAAAGGACACAGAGGGAACTCATGGCCTTCAGTTTGTCCCAAGGACAATTCCATGGACACCCTGTGACCGTCACCAGCTCCCCAGCAGATGCCATTGGGGTTGTTCTTACAGCTGAACTTTTTCAGGCTTCTTTAGTGGCTTGAGCAACTTCTCCCCAGTATTTCCCTTCCATCCCTTCTCTGGGAACAGTGAGAATGAGGGGAGAGCACGCAGAGCTCCAGCAGAGCTGGTCCTGAAGCCGTGCTCTGCCTCATGGAACAGGGACTCAGTGCACAACCCAGCCCTTCCAACCCATTTACTTCATCCAACATTCCAAAATCAGCATCTCTCCAGGGAGACCTGGTGAAGCCAGGTCATTCCTTTTTAGCAACTAATGGAAACAACTCAGTGTCAAGGAGTGCCACAAAAGAAAGAACAACTATAAAGGAATGGGGAAAAACAATGTAACCAAATAATTCAGGAGTTACTGAGCTGTTACTTGAGAGATCTTGGGAGAAAATAAATAAAAAATAACAGAGCAGCATAAGAAGGAATACTAATTTCTGCCTACAATGTACAGCAGTATGGCCTTAGCCTCCAAAAGTCCTTAAATGTTTGCATTCCTGAATCAAGTAAACATTGACAAGCTAAATCTTTATGCTAATACTAATTAATTTGAAAAATAGGAAACAAACCCATAATTATACTCACTTCAAAGAGCAATAGAAACTAGTCTTGGTATCAAATTAATAATAAATAAATCAACTCAGGAGTACAAGCCACCAGGAAGTAACTAAATATAAAAAATATGTATGGTATAACACATTCTAAAACTGTCAGGGATTAACACAGAATGATAAAAGGGAACAATCAGTTTCTGAGAGTTTTCTTTTTTAACTTCAGCTCCAAAAATGCATTTTCCTAGGAAAAAAGTCACCTTACAAAGACTATTTCTGTTTTAGTCCTTCCATCTGTAAGAGGTACAAGAAAATTGGCACACTCCAAATTTATGGGTTTTTTTGTTCCCTCCACAGATCTCCAGTGGCAAAAAATAACAAGTCTTAGTGCCAATATAAATGTGAGACAAAACTGGAACTATGGTAAGAAAACTACTATAGACATAAATAAAACAAGACTGCAGTAGTGACACTATTCCTCCAGCTTTAGAAACTTGAACTGATACCATCTCATCCACTTCCCATCTCTGCCAAAAACTCACCAGTTTTTGCACAACCCAAATGGAAAGATAACAATCAATCAACCAACCCCCCAACTTACACACTATGTGGAGATACTGGACACACATCAAGGAACAACCTTTAATAATGTGAATTTGTAGGTTGGTGCCTCTTTCCTACACAGGCCAAACCAGTTACCAGCACTCACTCTGAGGGCAGGGGATGAGGCTGATGCTTGGGTGAGTGTAATGTACACACCAGCTTGTAAAACTGCCTTTAAATATCCGTGACTCGCAGCATAATTGCTTCCCTCTCCTCTAAGTACAGCATTTGCAGGATTGCATTACAGCCCTACCTATAAAATGCAGCCCTTTATTAGGGACAAATTAGACAGCCCTCAGTAACTTAATAACATAATAACCCATGACCACAACATTGCAGGTTTATGCATCCCATCCTGCTGTATTGATGCAAATGAGACTCCTGACTGCAGCTGGATTAGCCACATGTTTTAAATAAAGTGTGTATGTGCTTTGTAAGGCCTGTGTCAGAAAAAAGGGAAGAAGCATTACAATGCAGTGTTACTCTGAACATGTGGGCTGCTTCAGGACTGCAGCTGGGAGGACACAGCACTACTTTAGGTGAGTTATGCACAGAATGAGAAACCCCAGGCTAAGCGGGCAGGGGACAGGGCTGGGACTGCTCGGGCAGGTGAATGCCACACAGGCACTTCTAAGGGTGAGACCTCAGGAATAGCACAGCCATGGACACATCCTCCTCTTCCTCATCCTCAAACACCTGAGGGGCAAAAGTGTGGCAGCACAAGGCCCCTCTCCACCACTGGCTGTGCCTGGCACCACAGCAGGCCGATATCATGGAATCACAGAAGGGTTTGAGTTGGAAGGGACCTTAAAGTTCATCTTCTTCCACACCCCAGCCAACACAGGCACACTGAGCCACTGGGGACACCGGGGCACTAAGGACTGAGGCACCCGTGACACAAGAGAACACAGTCTTAAGTTTTGGCAAGGTATGTTTAGGTTGGACATTAGGAAGAAATTCTTCATGGAACAGGTGAGAAGACATTGGCAGGGGCTGCCCGGGGAGGTTTGCAGTCCCCGTTCCTGGTGGCCAGGGAAGGATGGAGGTGGCACTCAGTGACAAGGGGGGCATCGGGCACAGGTTGGACTCGGTGATCTCAGAGCTCTTTCCCAACCTCAGTGATTCAGGGATTCTGTGATTCCACCAGGGGATGAGGAAATTAGCAATGGCAGGAGCTGTGCCAGGGGAGGTTTAGGATCGACATTATAAACAATTCCTGCACAGAAAGAGTGCTCAGATATTGCAAAGGTCTGCCCACGGAGGTGGCAGAGACCCGTCCCTGAAGCGTTTAAGGCAAGGCTGGACATGGCACTGAGTGCCTGCTTCAGCGGGCGATGTGCTGGGGATGCCAGGGTGTTCCCCAGGCCGTGTGCCCGCGGTGTTTCTGTCCCTGCCCTGTCCCTGTGCCCGCGGTGTTTCTGTGCCTGAGGCACCCGCTGCTGAAGGGCCGCTGCCGGGCCCGGCGCGCATGCGCAGAGCGGCTCCGGCCGGCGCAGGCGCGCGGGTGCCCCCCTGGCGCGCGCGGAGCGGCTGCGCGCGCACGCGCAGTTCCCCCGGCGGCTCCCGGCGCGTGCCCGGCGCTGCCCCCCCCGCTCGGGGCCGCGCCGGGGGGGGCGGGAGGCGCAGCAGCGCCTGCGCCCGCCGGGCGGGTCCGCGCGCGCGAGCCCGCGCGGGCCTCCCCCCACCCCCACCGCCGGGCCGGGGAGGGGGGGGGGGCATCGCCGGCATCATCATCACCATCATCATCACCATCATCATCATCATCTTCCTCCTCCTCCTCCCCTCCCGCCGCGCCCCTCCGCTCGGGGCCCCGCCGCGCTCTCCCCCCCCGGGAGGGCTCCCCCGCGCTTACCGTGTAGCGCGGGGCCGGCGCGGGGGCTCCGGGCTCGGCCGGGCTCGGCTGGGTCGGTCCCGGCGTCACACAATGAAATCAGCGGCCCCGATCATTAATTCTCATCATGATCGTGACGTGCGCGCAGACAGCGGCCAATGGCGCGCTGCGATCAGCGCGGCCCGGACGGCGCCCGCCCCCGCCGCCCGCCGGGGGGGCGCGCACGGGAGCGCCGGCACCGTGAGGGGACGGGGCGGCCGCAGGGCCGGCCCCGCTGCGGCCCCGGAGCCCCGCACCGCCCCCGGACCCCGCACCGCCCCCGCGCCGCGGGCCCGGCCCGCAGCACCCTGCGAGTGCTCTTGTACAGCCATCCCTGAGAGCTGGGGGCAGAGACGGGGAAGGAGCCCGCGATCCGTGTACATGTCCCCAGAGGGTGGTGCCGGCTCTGCCCAGCGACAGCACAAGGGGCAGTGCCCATAAACTACAACGCGAGAAGTTCCACCTCAACACCAGGAAAAACTTCTTCCCATGAGCGTGGCAGAGCCCTGGGAGGGTGTGGAGTCTCTGGAGGCATCCCAAACCCACCCGGACACCTTCCTGTGCCACCTGCTCCAGGTGACCCCACCTTGCACTGGGTGATCTCCAGATCCTTCCAGCCCCATCCATCCAGCGATTCTGTGGGTGCCCATCCCTGTGACCCTGTTCCATCCAGGGATTCTGTGGGTGCCCATCCCTGTGACCCTGTTCCATCCAGCGATTCTGTGGGTGCCCATCCCTGTGACCCCACGGCATAGGGCAAATCATGAGGAGACTCCCCAGTGAAACCCAAAAAGCTCCATGACGGACCAGGCTTCATTTGCATCAGCATTATGGCACTTAAGAAATAAAGCTTTTATTTCTCAGGATGGTACATTTGGTCTGGGAAGGGAGGAAATGCTGGTGTGTGCCCAGGTGGGCAGTGCAGGGCCGGACACCTCCTCGGGGCCACGGTCAGAGCTGGTGACAACACAAACCTCACACCCTCACTCCTGTGTACTTACAGGGTCCTGGTACTGCCAGGTACATCAGTGCTAGCCCTCTTTTGGGCTCCATTTCCCCTCCAAATGGAAATCTCCTGAACAAAGAAGCAGGAAGCACCCTGCTGGCCCATTCTGATGGATTCTGTGGCAGAAATCATGTGAAACCACTGTTTATTGGCTCAGCTGTAGGAGCACTGAGAAGTCAGAAGCAGACTTAAGACCTGTGTTGATTCCAAAGCCTCCAGACAGGCCACATCCCTACTCCAAATAGTTTCCTCTGAAAGTCACAATGTTAAAATATTAAACAGGCAATTAATTTTGTAGGATGCTTTAATCAGAAGTTCCAGTAAATATTTCTGCAGGACTGAAATAAAAGAATTACTGCTGGTTCTCTGTAGGCAGGGAGGAGAAAAGCAGACAGTGTTTATGTTTATTTTAAAATTGCAAGAAGTTGTTTACATTGTTTAAATTTTTTAACATAGATTGTGAACTAGTGGTGGCATCTCTTTGGGGAGTTGGGAACACATGACCTTTAAGGTCTTTTCTTCTGAAACCTTCTCTAATTCTATGATGTAGTAAACATCCTGAATTTAATAACAGGATTTTAGGGAGACCCCATACATTTAAACCTTAAATCTTCTTTTGTGCTGCTTGGTTTCCTGGATATGTTCCCTTCCTTTGTGTGCCATCAACACTTGCCCTGTAAAGATCAAATACAGCAACCACAAAACTTCTACACCACTGCTTTTATAGAAAATAATTGGTTTGGAATTAGCTATGGAATGATTCTTAAGAAACTTGGTATGTTTTGTTCTCCTAATATCTGCACCTTGGGAAACAAAAATGGTGAGACAGTCTCTCTGATATCCCTTGAAAAATAGAGTGGTGTTTGATAAAATGCAGCTTATTAAACTCCTTTAAAGTGGTGAATAATAGAAAGTAATATTTCAAGGGCTCTAATTTGACTAACAATGGGCTTACAGGTGCTTTTTCTATAGTTTTCATCAAAAAACTCATAGAATCGTTCCTGAAGGAGACATGAGATGTGTATTTAAGTTGTCAAAGAAACCAGTTTGCAGACTAGCAGCCCCAAAAGAAGATTTATTGATCCCAGTAATGTTCTTTACAACATAGGAGGCTGAACGTACAGGTTAACAAAGCTGCTGCTGTTTGCAGCACAGGAGTGACAAGCTCCACAAAGAATGTCATGTTGTGTATTTCCTTCCCTGCTAATGCCTCTTAAGGAGCCAAACCTTGAGGAAAAAAACTATTTCAGGATGAAATAAACCAAATATTCCTCTCCTGCTACCAGATCTAAGTGCTTCCTCCTTCATTAATGACAGATTTAAATTACCAGGGGCTGGCAGATCGGTCTGGTGGTTTAAACAGCAGCCTGGAACATGAAAGGAGCCCTTCCATGAGGGAGTCAGCATCAAAGTGAGACCGTGCTGCAGCTCCTGTGCAGGAGCTCATTAAACTGATGAGCCCAGCTCACCATTAGTGACTGACCCCGTGTGGTTCTGCCCCGGGGCCAGGGCTGGGTGTGGGCATTTCCTGCCACAGCTGGGAACATCTGCATGGCTCCCTGGAACACCAGGGGATGGATTCCACCCTCAGGAACCCAGCTGCAGCATCACACCAGAGTTCCAGAGCTTTCCCTTTTCCAGCAGCTCGTAGGGATTGCTCAGAATTCCTGGACAAGGACTTGGGAGCTGTTGTGTGACAGCTTTGCACACAGTTTAGAGCAATGGCTGCTATTTCCATTTCTCTGGCTTTTTATGGAGCCTGGAAAACACTGAGGCAGCCACAGGGGCAAACCCACCCCACTCCACAGAACCCTGTCCCAGGAGAGCTTTACTCACTTATTATGCCATTATTTAGGGGATGTTTTAAAGGATGTAGCTCCAAACCAGACCTTGGGCTCAATAGAGTCAGAGGCCTTTCAAAAATGAGTGAGAACAGGGTAGAAAAGAGCCCATTTTCACCTGGAATTTTTGTATTTGCAATTCTCCATCCCACTGAGTAATTTGGCTCTGATGCTGCTCCAAGGCATGAAATCATGGGGCTGCATTGCATCAGCCAAAAGGGGACCTGGATTGAATCTGTCCCCTTGTCCCCAAAGGGTCCAACTTGTGCTTGGAAAATGTGGAGAATCCAGTGTGGAAAAGCCTGGAGTTGATCTGGTGCTTGACCAAGCTCCTTTTGGGAACTTCTTGCTATCATTCATCCTCAATCTTTGCTAAGTTCAATCCTTGTAAGAGATTTATTAAACTTCAGGTTCAAGAGTGGCCACAGGAAAACCCCACTGGTCCTTTCATTTTGTTGGAGAAGTGTATCAGCATTTCCCTGAGGAGCTCCTCAGGCAGTTCTGAGGCTTTGTCCCCTCCAAGAATGTGTCTGAGCATTCCAAAAACTCTCCTAAAGCCAAGACACATAATATTTACTGCTTCGTGTCTCTACAAGGCTCCTTATTCTGCCACAAAGGAAAGTTTGAAGTGATTTATTCTTTAAAATCCAATTTTTTTTTTCACCAACAAATGTATGTCTTTCTTTTCCTATTGCTGCCATTTGATTTCCAGGGGGAAAAGTTGCTCTGAAAATCAAGTTCTTGGTTTAAGTTCCTTCTCTTTCCCAGGCTTTCTGCTTAATGAACACCCAAAATGACAACAGCAATGCTCATTTTATAGAAATACTATAAAGACACACTAAATATGAGGAGTACAAGGGTGTAATTTAAAATCTACTAAATCAGGAGGTTATGTGAGAAATGGTGATGGAGAAAGGATTACAGTGTGTAAACCTTAGGAAAAATGTTAATATGGAAAATTCCATGCAGCACATTTTCTGCATCTAAAAGCCCAGCCAGAATTAGTGGTCTTACAAGATTTACAAATTTTCTGTCTTCTTTGAACTTGGTTTTGCCATATTAATTAAAATTACTTGTTAATCCTCACCCAGTGCATAAACAAAGCTCCCATAAACTGAATCTGTAAATATGTCCTTTGTGCTGGTATGGAAAAAACAGCTGGTGCTTATGGGGAAAAAATGGAAAAGAGCCTGACTGGGTAGATATTTTAAGGATTTGTTCCACTTTTTATCTTATTGGGATATTTTTAAGAAAATCAGGGATGCTGTTTCCTTGCATTTTTATTGCCTTTGATAATTTTTCACACACTGAGCAGGGGAAATTATGAACTCGAGGAACATCTAACATGAGATACACCAAAAATTTTTACAAAGAGGGACATAATTTCTGTATATTTATTTTTCACCCATTAGTATTCCAAGCACAGAAAATTTTATAGTACAAAGAAAAAGTTAAAATATTTTTAAAATAAAAACGCAAACAAAACCAGGCATGAGGAAGCAAAGAACCAGGGAGAGAACCATCATTAAAATAAAAAAATCTGTACAGCCTCTCCTTTTGCCATTTTTTTTCCCCTACAAGACCAACTCAGTTGGTGAGATGATTCACCTAAAGGTGATGCCCAAGCAATTCTTATTTCCCATGATTTTTTTAAGAAAAGCAGCCAAGACAACTCTGAGTTGGAATCTTCAAAGCATTTATTGGTTTAGACAGCACTTTGCTTTTCTTTGACTTGTATTTCTCCAGAGGTTAAGATGGTTTTTCCATGTGCTCAGGTCTCCCAACATCAAACATTCCTGAGATGGAATAAAGTCCAGTCCTTATTTTTTCTCTTATACCCCTGGCTGGGCTGAAAGAGCCTGAAAAGTGGGGTTTTTCCCTTTAACGTAGTGGTTGTCCCTAATTCTTTGGAATAAAAATAACCATCACCCAGCAGTTCCTTCAAGTGTTTCTCCTTGCTTCTCTTACCTTGCTTGATTTAGTCAAGCTCATTTTTCTCCTCAGTCACAGCAAGTCAAAGTAAGGGAAAGAAATTATACAATAAAATAAAATGTAGGTTTAGTTCTAAAGGAAATAAAAGCAGAGATGAGGATAAAAACTTTGGAATCAATTTTACAAATAAAATAGAAGTACAAAGCGTCTGATAGTCCTCAACAGCTCCACATTCCTGCTGAAGAGGAAAGGTGAGAATCTGAATGATTCCAGGGAAATCCTTTCACCAGTGGTGAACCACAAGCCCCTTCTGAAAGAAAAGCACAGAACTACTCAATATTGACCCCTTTGGGTGTCCTGCTGAAAACAGG